GTAATTATGCAGTAATCGCCTTTGTGAAACGCCCCGGCTACCGAACTTTTCGGACGGAAATAGTAACACTTCCGACGAGTATTGAATTATTTTTAGAGAAATTACTAGCATAAGCTTTTTCACCTTCTTTCGTCCTCTTCAAACATTTTCCCGACGTTTACGAAGCGTTTGTCCGCTCGCGTATATTCGTTCACGTATATTCGTAAATTATAATAAAACTATGTTGTCAGGTAATCATCTTTTATAGACGAACGATTTTCCAGCCCTAGCGGATAAAGGAGAAATTTTTGCCCGATATTTAATAATAGTAGCGATTCGGTTTCGCAGCGGTGGATCGATAAAGGCAACTTTTACGTAACACTATCGGGGGCTTTCGATAATTCGACGCAGCCACGATCCGTCCGAACATCCAGCGGTGAGCTTACTTCATCGTAAGTGCTCCGACTGCATTCGTCGAACTTTGAGTGAAAATCTACCGAGTAACGAGCAATATTCAATGACACGTGAAATTCTAGCCTCTTCACTTTTGCGCGCTCCTTCGATACTCCTTCTCGCTGCACAGATTTCTCTGCTTGAAACATCCTAGTTTCTGAAAGTAGGGTTACATCGTTTCGATAAACCTACGGTGACGAACGAGCCGACGAAAGCTGCGATTTTTCTTTCTTTCTTTTATTTATTTTTTTTTTTTTTTGTTGTTGAGCAATCCCCTGTTCCTCCGGCTGGGAGCTCCTTGTTTCGAGGGTAAGAAGCTCTGGGATCCGGGGAAGAGGTCGTCTCCCCTTTGCAATTAAAACCGAAGGGTGAACGCCCCTAGCCGAGGACCCCCGCATATTTCTACAAGGCATAGAGCTCTGGTTAAGAAGGGGCGGCTCTGCGACGTTGCCGCTACACGCACGCGACCCTCGACCACCCCCTCCCTACACTCGACACGCGGTTTTCCCTGATGCTGCACATTGCTGCACATTGCTGCACATTGCTGCACACATTTTTTTCCTGTGGCGCCTTAACCCACCCTCCCTCCGATAGCCCACCCCTCTCCAACCATCGATTCGTGACCATTCTTTATAATTAACCGCGCGGTGCTCCAATTTCTGGCCAAGGGAGGAAAAAAAAAGAAGACACACATGTATACGCGTCGTTCGCGTACTACGTGCGAATTAGTGCCGCATGGGGGACGAACTAGGGAATGGAGGAAAGCGTCGAGCTTAGCTATAAAAGGATTTTAGTCAGTTTATTATAGAGAGCCCGTGTTGGAAACTAGGTGACGAGAAATGGGTGGATGATAACGTAACGACCGAGCATCGGGCTAAAAATAATTGTCCCGCTGATAATATTGCTGGCGATTTTACGGGCGTGTGACGTTACGCAGATAAATTGATGATGTCAAACACAAGGAGAAGAAACAGCTAAGAAATCAAATCCAACCCCCGAACGTTCGTGCGAGGGACCGACGAGTGCTCGACGTTCGAGTAAGGGATAGTAGGATTTGGGGTTGAAAAACAGGGTAGCGATGATCGCTAAAGAGGTCCTCCGACAGCAGAAGCCATCGCTTTAAGTATATTTGCCTACACTGTATACTCGTTCAGACGAATAAACACACGCACGTGGATGGGCTCCGGTACCACCCCTTATTACCGGTCTATGTGTGCGAGACTGCACGCACGTATCAATGCTACTTTCGCTCGCGAATGTCCGCCATCGTGGACTTTATACACGTCGACTTTTGCACAGAGAGACATCGAGAGCAGATTGTTTGCTGCGTTTCGAACAATTCATATGAACAAAGTCACCCAGCCTTTCGTTGACTTTTGCTGGCATTTCGATCGATGCCGCGGGAAATTAAGGGAAAGATCTATGAACGTTTATGTATCTATAGGAAATTGAAGGATCATATGCAAAAAGGTGCAAAAATGCACAAGATGAATTATTGAAAATTATTGATCATTGAAATGAATTATTATATATATATATATATGTATAAGTTCTGGAAATCAAGTCACCAATGGTGTGACAACGTTCACTTGTTTAATTTCTGTTTTTACATTTAGAAATATGATTAGTAAGATATTTCGCAATTTCACGTTTCGTCATATTTCAAACAGGATGAATATTGACAAGCTGAATAATTTGTGAGACGTATAGAAATAATAATGACGTGAGAAGTTCAAAAATGTGAAATAGATGAAAATCTAGCGTAGAAGAGTTTACTATTAAAAAAAAATTTTATATCGTTTATTTTTTATTAAAGTGAATATTTTCAAGAAAAATGATGAGAACTTATTTATACTATCTAATGAATGCATTTATAATTTGAAGATGTAAAAATACACAGGATGAACATACATGCACAATGCACAGAAATGAGTATAGATGTATAAATTATACGTATAACATATGCATTTAAAATTGCAAAAATGCAGAAGTGCAAAAGGACGAATGTCAATGTTCAAAGTATAATAGATACTCTTTATTACATTAAAGATTGTGTAATTATAAGTGTATTTTCTAAAGCTTCAGTTGCGTTCACGTAATAAAAATATAAATTTGCACAAATATCTGCAGTACGGTGTAATTTATGAATATTTAATACGCTGACCGATGACGTAGCCACTGCCTTGTTTATCTTCACTCACAATCAGTAATCGATGACGCGATGTTTGCGTCATTGATTTAGATCAACGTTATTTTACAGTTCTTGAATTGCAATTGAAATAGGTGATCTATTAATAAACTGTAGAATAAGGTCTCTAGAGCATCGTATAACGATTTTAATATCACATAAAAATAATATAGATGGTTATACTAGAAACATAAGCTTCAACGTATAAAATTAGTTGCGTCAATCGGAAAAATAATTTCATGTAACTGGTGACGTAATTTTAGCAATTTAATTTATCCTTCAGTCGACAAAGTGGTGAAAAATTAATTAAGATAAACAATTAAATTAGCAAATCTCTTTATTAATAGTAAATAAAGTAAATTTCTACTCAATTTAATATACACATTTTATAAGAAAAATGTGACAAATTCACTCAAAGAACAGACCGAAGATTTGCACAGTAAATAACTAACAATAAGAGAAAACAGATTTGCGTACAATATATACTTGGAATAAAACAAACTAACGATTTGAAGTAATGAATCAATTAGTGATTATTATATTTCAAATGTGATCTAGCTAAATAAGTTATTCAATCATTTTTGAAATAAATTGTAATATTCTAAACTAGTGCCTAAGCACGTCTTGAGAGTCAGCGATAAAGAAAATTATTTGAAAGTGCCCTATAGCAATCGGAAAATTAAAAATCGCCGTTCTACATCTAAATGAAAATATATCGATTACTCGAGGTGATATTTGGAATTCCGTCGATTACGAATGTGTTAATGCACAGAAAGGAAGAAAGAGAACAATTTCGCGTTTATTATCGACGATGTCATTTCAGGGATGAATCCGAAGATCGATGTTGACAGTTCGACGTGAAATGCGCGGCCGCGCATTCCTGTGGAAATGACGCATTTCGATCGAACCTTTGAAACTAGATTAGTGCCTCGCTTTTATATAAATATTCCAGTCGAATCTCCGAGCTGTTACGAATATAGAAGGTCCAACTTTAGAAATCTCACCCTGTTCTGCCCACCATCCCCCTTCTTCTTCGTTGACGTTCGACTCGTGACGATAAAATAATCACAGAATCGTTCGACGACAAAAGGATTTTAGGATTTAATGGACGACATTTTTCAGAGGAAAGATAAACAATAGCTCCAATATGTTTATTTCGCGAATAGGAGCGAGGAAATATTTATCAGGCATACAATTTGTGGAAAATCGTTTAATTTTCGTTTGGCTAATGTTAGATCTATTTTGACCTGTTCGTATAAAGAATCGTGTAAAGAAAAAATTATGCTACACCACTCTTTAACCTTCAGTAGCGATAAGACAAACAAGAATGTAATAAATGTTCTATACAGTCAGACACGAAAGTCTGCACGTTTATCTGCACGTTTCAAATATTTAATGGAAAACAAGAGTTTCAAACAATTCAGAGGCACTGATTTATTTGTTATTTAAAGTTTATTCATTTGTTAGTTTTAATTTATTGATTAGTTAAATTCTGGAAAAATTATGTTTTTATATTCATTTACCGGAGAAGATAAATTAATAATTTCTTGACGATGTATATTTTGGGTAAGAATTTTGATATCCAAAAACAAATTTTACAACCTCTGTCTAGGGAACATTATTTACAAAGAAACGACTGCAATTATCATTAAACTTTAGAAAAAATTGTTCGTGTAGCAAAAAAAAAAAAAAAAATTATAACAGAGATATGAAGTGTGATAAACACGATCAATTTCAATTGTGGATTAATCGGAAAGAACTATTCTTTTGATTTCTTACGTCACTGGATCTTACATCTTCAGATTTCCACTTATGGAAATTCGATCCACTTCGACATGAGTGACAAACAATGCAAATGAAATAAAATGATAAAGTACGAAATGCACATACAAATACTTATCTATAGCTTTACGTTTCATATTTTTGTTATAACTCCTTCATGAAGCATTTTGCATGACATTTTATTCTTATCCTTAAACACACTGGCAAAGTTTGAACACTAAACACATTGTATCTCGCGATGTAACAATTTCATTAAATTCAACTATTTCATTTTGATAAAATTAAATAATTTTTATTTACTTCTATATATTTGAACAACCGAAGTCACGTATGTATGACGTCCACCATAAAAGTCTGAAAATTTTGATACAAAGGGATGGAAAATGACAACAAAGTTTTTATAAAGGGGGCAAACATGTTGCAATAACGTTCAATGAAGTAAAAAAAAAAAAAAAAGAAAAAAGAAGAAAGACGTGGATATATACGGTTTTACGTAATCGATGGAAATTACCCAGCGAATTCATGTGAGCGCGATGAAATTGTTCCCAAGGTAACCGAGATGCGAACGTCACCGGTGACGGAGGAGAAGCCACTTACCACGGTAAAGTAAATATCGTTTTCGTGGGCAGAACGACAATGGTTTTCCACGAAAACCAGCGCAACGCTGCGTGATAGCTGGGTAATCGATAGTGACCTTCGTGGCCGCGAGAGAAAAGAGACGATCGAAGGAATCGTACCATTTCTAACGAGATGTCACACGAAAGAATAATATTTCAATTACGGTCAATCAATTCGCGGAAAAGTGGTTAAATGAGTGACGACAATTTGGATGTTTTACGTTCAAATCCAGATGATATCAGTCGTGTTTAAATGTCAGAAAATGTTAGATGTATCCTAACGTAATTACATCGAAATGACTGATATTTTTGTTTCCATCGTACTGTAACTGAGATCAAATGTTTTTCCACGGATTGAAACAGCAAATAGAAAGAATGAAGATGTGTCTTCTTCATTTAGAAAAGATGATTTAAAGTACAAGAAAGATACTTATCAATACTAAAGAAATACTTAGGAAATTTAATAATAAAAATATAATAAGAATAGCATTTTTAAATATCGAAATAAACTGGCAGTGAAATGTTTTTCATCTTCATTCGAATCTCCATGCAATTTAATATAAGAAAAATATACTGAAAATTCTATTAAACGAACGCTTCTTCCTATCAGATTCTACTGTACTTAATTTATTAAAGTGTCATTTATATGAATGTAGATAAGTATGAACGTGCAAATGTGTTTTGTTTATGATATGATCGTGGAACGATTTAATAAATTTTTTTTTATCATGAACCTGAACAACTACTTTGATATTTTATCTAAAAATATCTTAATTTACATCTTAATTAAATGTATTGGAGTACCTACTAGTAATAGATAATATTCTTTTTATAAATCCTGTTCATGAAACGTTATTTGTCTGTTTTCTTGGATAAAAGCTTTGATCTGAACAAAGTTATGCAGAAAACTAACGACCCTCAATGATCTCAATAACTGAGTAAATTTAGTCTGAAAATTTTAATTTGGAGGATTTAATTTAAAAATTTCTGTCGGATATATTTCATTTTTTTACTTCTTTTACAATGCCAATATAATAATATAGTGAATAAATAAATGTAGAATGTAATAATCTAAGAATAGAACTATGGCTTGATAGATTTAACGACTCTACAATGCAAGAGCTGTTCTATAGATTTATATTTTTGCAAAATTATAGAATTCGTACCGTGTTTCATTAATTTTTCGTCGTTTGGAGGTTTCTGTTCAACTTGGTTCAATTGTTAACACCAGGTTAGATATCGGAGAACGTTCGTGTCGGTTTCACGAGTGAAAATAAAAACGATAAATTCGCGATGGATTCAAGGCGTCGTTTAATTATATGCTAAGTACTTGACCCAATTTTATATTCACAGCTATTTCCCCCTCCTTTTGTTCCCGTCCTCTGCGAAATTTTATTTCCAGAAACAATATCGAGAGAGGTTCTCCATCATCGACAACATTTCCATTCTTTCACCCACGATTCATCGTGCGACGAAAGAATCGGTATTCCTTGTGCTTTCAACGTCTTGCATCGACTTCTAACAACAATGCATAAAATAGAATTCCCCTCTATTCAAGGTGTCTCAAGCAACATGCGATAATAATGGTACACCTGACAGACACGAGAATCAACTTCGTGCCACGCTCGAAGGACATAAACTTCGCTCTTCTACGTACAAACGTTCGTTAACGAGCCGGAAACGCTCGGTCAGACTTACATCTCTGTTCAAAGTCTAATCTAAACAAATGATTAAGCCTGAATCAGAAATCTAAGTAACACAGCGATCATAGAAAAGAAACGGAGGTGGCATAAAATTTGCATAGGCCGCATTAGCATGAACGCGAGATTCGACGATGAAATCGAAACGAATTCGAAACCGGGGGAAAACCGCGAGCCAGTTCGCTTGATCGATCCCGCGGCTCTTATGCAAATACGTCGTGTTCCACGTTGTATCGACGGTGTGCAGTGAACGGTTCACCGCCAAGTACCATATGGAAGCTGGTGTTTCGTTCTGTGGGGAGAATGAAGAAAAAAAGGAAAGAAAGTTTAATTCCCTTCGTGACATATTGTGACTAACGCGCGGGCTCTGTGGCTCTCATTACGCAGCCACGTATTCCCGTGGGTGACCGCGTACGCACGCAGTGCGATATGCACCCTACGCAGCATTTTTCGACAGAAGCGAATCGAACGATAGAAGGAGCGCGAGAGTTTCGATAGGAAAGGAGTCGAGGGTGCTCTTTAGTGTTCAGACGCGTGGCGGATCTCGTTTCGCCTAAGTGGCAGCCCCCTCTCTCTCAGCACACGCCACCCCCGTATGCATCGACTCGGCGAGGAATGAATGTCGATGAAGATTCGGCTGAGCCGGGGAGCACATATCTTCCAGGCCAGCGGAAGCCTGTTTCCAATCGTCGAAGCTTATCGAAGCTTTCTCTCGCTTCTCGCGCTTTATAGCTGTATAACGACGATAATTTGATCGTTAACGATGAATCGTTTGGTGTCTGCCTTAATTAACTCATTACCGCGATCAAATTCAATCCAATAGCAGCTGAAACGGTCGACACGCTCGGAGTAAATACTAATTATCGCGTTATCATTAATTAGCTCGGCTTGGTCGTCGAGTTGCTTTTGGAAACACCGACTATATCTCATTTCGACAAAAAAGTTTCCAACGATCGTAGAATCGAGAATATGTTTTGAATCTATTTAAAAAAATCTTATTTTAAAGAATAATTGTCGTGGTACAATATATTCCAATTTTGGTGGAAGAAATTGTATGTAATTTCTTGCTAAATCGATATTTCATTTTCGAGTAACGAAGATATCTAATTTTCCCACAAATTGAAACAGCAAATAAAAATGATGAGGATATTCGAGACTCTTAAAGAAGGACTTTGATTAAAGTATAAAAAAAAAACATAATTCTAGAAAATTTCTTAAGATAAAAAGAAAAAAAGTGGCATTTGTTACAATAAATTGATTTCTCAATTTTCGTTTGAAAGTTCTGCTAATTATTTGAACAAACTTTCCTACGATGAATAGAAGTTATTAATTTTTGAAGAAAAATATGATTATCAATTCGCAAGATATTAATATTACAGGTTAAATTAAATAGTTTCTTTCTATGAATAAATCATTCTTATTGATTTTCGATTTATAAATGATTTAATATTTCCTTCATCGTAAATATATAAAAGTAAAGTATATTAGTTTTAAAAAATTTCAGAAATAACAGAAATAGCAAGTGTATAACTTAAATGTAACAAGTTAGATTACGTTGTCCATACATTGTTCGTAAGAACTGTTTTATACTGGGAATACTTCCTGAGATATCGATATATTGACATTTCAACTGAACGCAATTCTACTCTACGTTATTTTAAAGAACATTATTTTGAAACTTTCTTTGGGATTAAATTTCTACCCCACTGGGATTAAAATTAAAAGTTAAATATAACAAGCCAAATTACACGATTGATTTCAAGGGAACTTTTTAGTGAGTATATTAATCAAGATACCAAACTTTGCTTGAATAAAATTTAATATTTATATTCCTAGAGATATTTTACACTTCCTCTGGGACGTACACGATATATATATATATATATATATATATATCACACTGAAAAAGTTTAAAATTGGCTCAAATAACTTCCACATTATCCTATTATCGTTGAAATGAAATGATTAAAAATCCAATATGATACTTTACATTTCCACTGTGAAAGGTGTATAAACCAATAAGATTCGAGGAATTAAAAATTGCTCATAGTTGAGATAGAAGACAAATTACTTATTTAGATTGATTCGAACAATTTCTATTTTACTTTTAGAAGTAAGTAATAGCATCACCATTAGAAGTGATAATTAACACTAGAACTACCTTTA